CCGCACATGAGGTGATATTTGGCTTATCGGCGCATTCAAACAAGTGTAAATAATTCCATTACATGTAGCTGTCTTAAATGCAAAAAATGCACCAAAGATAAAAAGACAAATGTAGTTCCTTTAAATGGCATTTATCGCTACAAGAAACATTTGCCAATTGAAATAACATGCCAAGCACTAGCACAGCAGCTCCATTATAAGGTGCGATCCATTCACGCGGTCGTTTTGTAATCTTAACTGGTTTGCTGCTATTTGTTTAGCGTCTTTCACTACTTCTGCACTTGATCTGACTTGGGTGTTTTGTTTTTTCTTGCACACGCAGTTGAGCCGTATTCAAGTGGGTGTGCAAGCCGTACACTCCCACTTTGGTATGTGTTGGAACGAATGTGTATTATTTTACCTTGTGGAATTTGATGCTCTTCTTTTCAAGTTTAGGAGCCAACTACAACAGGTTGACCGTTGTATTAACGCAGACTTTACCCTTGATGTTGTGATAATGCTACGACACTGCCAAATGATAGCAACTTCTTTTAGCAGATTTTTCTTGAGTAGATTTGCATCATCTTTAATGCAAAGATTTGTGTGGTTAGTGGTTGTGACAACTTCTGAGGATGGGATATTTGGAACGCTTTGCAATAGCTCGGGTGGAAAATTGGCTTTTCGCCTTTACAACTGCTTCTTACATTTTGCTCATAGTGAAATTGGTAGAAGTGTGACTTGTTTAACCCCAACATGCGTCTTCTAACAATTTGGTGGTCGGTAGTCACCATTGAGTTTGCTCTGAATACAAACATGCATATGCATTGAGTGCAGCCCTTTGCACACGAATGGAGAACTTCTCGCCTTTGTTTTTTATCGACCTATAAAGATGTGACGAGTTGGAGGCTATCCATGTAGTGGCTTTTACAGGGTTCCGTTTTCTGATGTCTGATACAGATGGTTATTGTGGTGAGTCTCCTGCCATGCTGTCATTTGTGGAGCTCTGTAGTGATGGTGAGGCGGACGGCCAGCATTACTAAAAGCTCCTGATTGTTCAGTCGCCACTTGTGGTCAAGAGGTGGTATTCGTCGGTATTTCATGAAGTCTCCTTTCGTTAATGGTCCAATTTCGACTGGTCAATCAATGCTCTTTGAGCCACGGTTTGTAGTCGAGGGCAAACCCTTTGGTCTCATGCATGAGATGGGCTGGCCTTACCATGATAAATAAAGTTAAGCTGGAGTGCATTTC